GCAACTTGCGGTTAACGTTTTTACACGTACAATTTATACGAATACTTTTTCTCATTCAAAATAGTTATCTATCTTAAAAAAGTTAATAATAATCATTGTTACTATAAATCTATCTATGTATATCCATCTACTACATACAATTAAATTCTAACTGAGCCGAATCTGTACGGTTAATATTTTTTGGAAAACCTTATTAAGATAGACATTATTATCGATACAGAGGCCGAATCTATAGTTTTTTGAATTTTTGTCTGTCTGTCTGTGACCGCATCACAGAAAAACCACTGGAAGAATTTTGATGAAATTTGGATGATGAAAGCTGGTTATCCGGATCAACATATAGGATACTTTTTACTGCGTGAAAACACCTCATCTCTGAGAAATCTATACTAAGCCTTAAAACGTACTCATGCTAGTTCTTATATAATATGAAAGAACCAATAAAACTCAATAGCTGTTCAATAATTTAACTTTTATATTATTTCATAATATATAGACCAAGAACCAGTTTTAGATGCCGCCAAATACTCGGTATCGTCTTTGATTATCAGTATCGATGCACTTAATTAAATTACGATCACAATACCATAAAACTGTTCGTCATCGTCGATCAGACGAAGAATCAAGATGTCAGCTTCTCGTACGGCGAAACGTTATCTCGAGATCACCCTTGGCCTGCAGCCTATTCACACACCTGTTGTCTTTTGAAAAAGCTATTCAAGGAAATTTAAACTTAATTTATATTTGCATAAGAATATTTGTCGATTAGATGTAATGTTTGGCCTGCCTTAGGCCCGGACGCAGCGCGCGTGCTCTCGGTTACAGGGGAATGCCTCCAATAATCATTAACTTTCGGAGATTGGTGGCATCACAATGATATATGCTCGGGATGTGCCGGATGCTTATGTAATGACTGTGGAGAAGGTATTATTATGAATATGAAATATTTTTTACGCTTTATAAAGTTACGGATGGCGATAGTTGATTTTGTGTTTTAAGTGATGACTTGACTTTAAATCGTGTAAGATATCCACAGTGGGGTAAAGCTTTTATTTAGTAAATTTGTAAATATTTAATAAGTTATCAATAACCCGTTACTAAAATAGCTTTTTCTTCTCCAGTTTATTGTTCTCGTGATGGCTAAAATTAGTGTTTATAACACCCAAAACTGGTCACTTTTAGTGGCAGATCATAAAACTTAGTAATGTCTATAGAACTCAATATACGCTATCTCAGTTTTTAATTACATTTTGAATAATTTTTCCTCCGATCCAACATGTACTTAAGCTAACTAAGGACTCCCTCTTTGAAATTAACTAAAAATATACCAAAGTGTTCATGTGCCCAGTCAAAATTGTATTTCAAAGCAAAGATATTATCGTGCTCATACATACACAAGCGCGTATTTTCTCAGCGTGTAACAAACACGGCCTAACGAGTGACGAGTAATTCTGAGGTAATTTTAGGTCATTCCCATCTATCGGGATGCGGCCTTGCGATGCGCAAGAGATAACGCGATTGCGTTGACTTTGGGATTTGGAAACCTTTATTTTAGTCTATTATATTATATTAAAATACTATTATAATTGCAAAAATGTATGTATGTTGGTTACACTTTCACACGTACTAACCATGTTAGGCACCCCTTCGCTTGGGTGCCTAACATGGTTAGTACGTGTGAAAGTGCGTGGAGAATTCGCTAATCTATATAAAAAATATATATAATATAGTTCTAAATTACACTACAATCTAAGTTTCGACATCTGTCATCAAATGAAATATTTAATCTATACCTTTCAACATATAAATCATTTATTTCATCTGGCCTACTAAAATCGTGGCCTCTTAAGAACTAATGACATATTTCGAACAACATCGATTGTTATACGTATGTACTTCTGAGTGTGTTGGCGAAATCATATGGTGTACCATTATACCATACCAAGGGAACGGTAATAATAAATCATACGATTTTAATTCGGCGAAATCTAGAGTTATATGTTTCGAATTGCTTTTGTTTTGTCTACCTTTGTTACTATGGAACTGGCAAAATATTTTCGAGTCAGTTATTATTAGACCTGTGTATGTTAGCAGAAAATAATTATGTTTACGTTTCAAAGATAAAAAGACGTTAAAAAAAAAACATTTACTTTTTATATTAATAAAACGGAAATACCATTTGGCATAATTATATCAGCCCTGCAAAAGTAACGACCACAGTGTTTACGAAGCGTGTTACACATCTGTTGTAATCTGGGTACGGGCCAAGACATGGCTAGAGTCTTTATATATGCGTATACGCAAAAGTTTATTGAATAACAACTATTGTACGTAATATTTTACAGCTTTTACTTAGAAATACAGAAATAACGTCAACAATAGTATGGAAATGTCTAACATTTCGCCATAACTATAAGTTTGGCAATTATAGTTTTACTTCGACGTATAAAGCCCCAAACCAATAATCAACGTAAAAAAGATTCATTGATTTATTCAGAAAAAAATTGTTAATAATAACTGAAAATGTATAACAAATTAAACACCACGATGATATCTCAAGTTTTTTAACGCACGTGGTGATTTTGTAGATGAATTGTAGGACAGCGAGGAGGGGCAAATGTATCCCAAATCGAAATTGGTTTGCTAGCTTACCTGTCTCTCTCTAATATCCCTTCTCTTTTTGGGCCCAACACACGGTTCATTGTACTTTGTGGACATCACGGCTAGCTGCGCCTGCGGCCTAATATATGTGAGCCAAATTTCTTCGAATAATAACAATTTCCGCGGGCTATTTCTTATTTATTATGAATATACAACTATAAATATTCAAAGATTTCATTTTTTTTCTTCTTAGTTTTAACTTTTAAATCTTTACCGAGTGTAAAGAATTGTGTTTGTTACATTTTCTGAAGCACAAACACAATATAAACAAAGAAAATAATAAAATACAAAGCGATCAATAACATTAATTATAATTAAATGTTAACGCTACATATAAGATTTAGACTAGTCCAGGAAGCAATCTAACCAGTATATTTAATTAACCCATGATTTAGTATTGCGTGCCACAGCTCCTTTTGGTGTGTTATTTATATAATCCATTGTTTCTCTGAATTTGGTTAGCTCCCAGAACGATCGCAGTATAAAGCAAGATCAATCGTATCTATTATAATAAATTAAGAGGTGGTGAATGATCTAAGGACTTTGAATAAATTAAAATATTTTTGAACTTTTGGCCATAACTCAGTCGAGTTTCTTAGATACTCTAACCTATTATAGTTTTATGGTTTTACTAAATATACTAGCGACTCACTCTTACTTCGCTCGGGTTCGCCTCTATTTTTTCCCCATACAAACTATCATCCCCACTTTCACCCCCTTACTAACTTACTAACCAACTAACTTTGAAAACTAACCTATTTCATTCCCAGAGTCTCAAACTATATTCTTACTAATTTTTCATCTAAATCGGTTTAGAAGTTCCAGATATTAATTCCTACAAACATACTGATAAAATTATAAAATATAATAAAAACTTTACCTATTTATAATCTAGATATATAAAGGAGATTACGTTGTCACAATACCTTCGATCTGTAATTTTTCAACAAACTAAAGTTCTAACGCCACTAAACTAAATATCGTCAAATAAAGCGTATTTTTTTTATATGTTTAAAATGTTCGATCAAAAATTAAAAATCTAGAATCGAAACATAAAAGAAAACGGAAATTACAGCGAATTAAGACCCCAAACGTTCACTGATTATAATTTTAATTCACCACGCTCTACTTATCGAACAATAAACACACATCCGTACCTGTACATAAATCTCTATATATATTTTTTTTATCTGTATCCTCTTGATCTTAAGAGTCATAATGCAGTTAGTATACGGTCGATACCCATTTTGGTTAAGGTTATGTGAGAGGTGATGTGCGAAATTAAAAAGTGAAACAATAATACTACATTTATATGAATGTCGGACGAAAGTGAATTTGGAACATGAATGCTGCTATCTCTGTAATGGTTGTATGAAAGCTATGTTTAACTGCTTCGGTGTAGTGTAGTGGATCCGGAGGTCCTGGGTTCGAGTCCCGGTCCTGCGCCTAAACTCTCACCGGTTGTGTCGAAGTATCGTCCCATCGGACTTTGCGAGTGACTGGAATAGAGAGTGCACTTGTGCTCTATAATATCCCCTGCGCATCTGGCTAGCCTCAGTAAGACAGGCCTCCGTGACCGAAATGGGTTGGAAGGACAAAAACCTAAATTCGAATACTAAGTAATTACTGTGATGATAGCTAATTATTCAAATTTATTATAAGACGTTAATTTTAAGACTACATAATATATGTATATAGGTAGCTTTTCACTTTTAGGTGGTAAAAGAGCCACTTATACAAACAATCCTTTGTGACACTTTACTTTTAAGATTTAACAGGAGGTTTCTGCAGACTGTAGGTTGACTGAATAATATTTTAACCGATTTCAAATAAGACGGAAGATTTCATTCGTGTATGTATGTTTTTTCTGTGGATGTTAGGCACACAATAAATTCACCTATTTATAAAATGATTTAAATTATTCATTTCCTTTAATGGATATTTAAGTTATTCATAAGCAAAGGTGTAAGGTGTTAACATTTAAACAAAAATATTTTGGAACCTATGACCTATATATAAGTTGGAAATACTTTGTTTAGATAGAATTCTACAAAGAATACTTTAGTCAAAGGCGATTTTGATATCTTATTTCGCTAAGCCAAAAGAACGTTATTCTTATTATACTATAAATTAAAAATTTGTATGTTTGTTAAATTTGTTCTTTCACGCTGAAACTGGACGGATTTGGATGAAATTTAATACACACTATGACCTAGATTAACACATATGACGCACTAAAATGAAGCGTGTTCAAATCACTAGAGGCTAAATAGCTAGTTATAAATAGTATACACTTATGTGTAACTTCTTTATATTCTAACAATATGTGTCTATTCCAGCCTCTTCGAACAGGAGATCATGAGCTACGTGCCGGCGTCTGGATGCCCGACGGCCGAGCCCTCGCCCGTGGCGTCGCCGGCCGCCGCGCGCTCCACACGACAACCTGCACCCCAGAGAAGGGACTTTGAAGCCAAGTTGAGAGCGTTCTATAGGAAGTTAGAGAGCAAAGGCTATGGTCAGGGACCTGGAAAGTTAAAGTGAGTTTTAACTTTCACTATGATGTTTTTTTACGTCTTACTGCTGGATACGGGTCTCCCTTTAATGCAAGTAGATTATTCCACTACTCCGGCAAGTACAAGTTAGCGGACTTGTGTGTTCCGAAAACTTGCCAGGTTCTGTTAGTCGATGTTTTTGTTCACCCTAAAGCAAGTGGCAGTCATGTTGCACAAAAGATATTAGAAGTGCGATACCCGGGACTAGAACCCCTTGTTTTCCCTTTATCCAAGCAAGCTGGTTCGAAGGTAGTGTCTCCCATGTCTTTGTGTGATTTAATCTCTCTTACTGTGCAACTTGTGCGTATATTCGCATCAGATCGTTAATAACTGTCACGAAACTTATTTTCATTTTAACTTTTTTACGTAATCGATTCTATTACATAAGTTTTCACCAATAAATCGATATGCAGCAAATTTTTAGTCTATTACAGGATAAATTTGTAGCAATTCGTCTCTATCATAATCCCATTACGCTGTACGACGTGACAGAGAAAGCTTTAGGTAGTAATTTTGAGTTCAGCGGATTGGAAAAGTTTTAAAAGGGAAGTAGTGAATGAAAAACTATATTAATAATATATTAATAGTTTTATTCAATACTTAATTTAAATTAACAAACGCACTTTCGCTTTTATATATATATATATATATATATATATATATATATATATATATATATATTATATATATAATTTTTTTATTTAATAAATATTGGACATTATTTTTGACCATTTCTTAACATCTTTACCTCTTATTTCAGATTACACATCAGACGTGACCATCTCCTAGAAGACGCTTTTAGACGTATCATGTCCTGTACTAAAAAAGAGCTGCAGAAGGGCAAACTTTGTGTCCTATGGGACGGTGAAGAGGGGTTGGACTATGGCGGCCCAAGTAGAGAATTCTTCTTTCTACTATCAAGAGAGCTATTTAACCCATATTATGGGTTATTTGAATATTCAGCAAATGACACGTACACAGTACACGTGTCACCTATGTCGGCATTCGTCGACAACCATCATGAGTGGTAAGCTTTATACTGTCTATCTTTTGGTTTGAAAGCTCTGGTTTAATTTAAAGCTTCTATTAAATATCATTTTATAGTCATATAGTATAGCATTCTGGTTTCTCAGTTTCATTAAAAAATATATATTCTTTAAAAGTTATTGAAACACTAACCACCATACATTGAAACACTGATCACCGTCGCTTCGCTCGGGTAAAACAAGAACGATTTATCCCACAGGGACTGTAAATTTTTCTGGGATAAAAAGTAATATATGTGCTATTTCAGACTATTATCTATCTCTGTGCCAAATTTGATCCAAATCCGTTCAGCCGTTCTGGTGTAATTGAGGAACAAACATCCATCCATCCAAACTTTCGCATTTATAATATTTATATGAAATTATTTTCTATATGAATGTAAGTATAAGAAATATAAAAAAAATATACTATAAAAATACTCCTTAAGAAGTTTAATAGTAATATCACAATAAAGTAAAAGGCCAAAATCTCGCAGGCACATAAAAGCACTCAGCAAATAATTGTTATCGTAATATCATATCCTCAATGCGACACATTGGGCACGGTGAATGATAATGGCCAAGTAACTTTGAACGATTAGTTGGCATTGGTTTGTCCCTGTAAATAACGCGGAAAGATATAATATGTACTATTTTTATTATAATAACCTTTAGGCACGAATGCATAGACTATAGACAATTGTTGTAATGGCGCCAGCTATTCAAAAAAATATATATAAAATTGCAATACTTATAGGTAATTACAAGTTTACATCACGCAATATATTTTATTTTTCCTTATAAAATAATTGTTTTTAGTTCATGAAATTGAAAATCTATTTATTAACATCGATATTGAGAAATAGTATATTGTGGTATTATAATTAATAATAAAAATACTTTTTTTAGTTAAGTCCACTAAAAGTCCGCGAAAATGGAAAATGAGTGTGTATTTCGTAAAGAACAACACTCGTGTCGATTTTTGCGTTGACAGAGAAAAGCTCTACATTTCCAATGACATTGTTTTTTTTTAATTATATTTTAGTACAAAGCAATAAAATGTGCAGATAAAAAATATTCCGTATTTGGCAGATAGTAATCGCAGTGGAATTTTTAAAAATGTAAAATAATATATAAGTCAATCAGTCAAGGTCCTCTGAGATAGTTGTTCACACCCATGCTTATACTTCATATCAGCTTATATCTTACTAGCATTTGATAAAAATTTATTGTTAAACCACGCCTGATAATGTGATAAACGAGTAAGTAATGTAAATTGTGAAGAAAATATATAGTTTGACTCAAATTATAATGGAAAATAAAAAAAGATTAGAAAAAAAATTAATAACCTATTAGAATTTTTTTTTAATTAAATAATATTCCCATGGCACTTTATCAGAAAATTAGTCAAATCGATGTGTTAGTACCCACTAACTAAGTGGCGACCGCAAATATACTACAGATAAGTCCAATTTACATATACTTATATATTTACACAACAAAGTGAGGCATATCAAATGTAATATGAGACTTATAAATAAAAAATATTATAATTCATACTAGCAGAACTCGCGGCTTCGCTCGCGCTAAAACTACATAAAAAATCTGATAAGGTAGGTCTCATACAAACTTTCATCCCCTATTTTAACCTCTTATGGAATGAATTTCGAAAAATTCTAAAACATTTATTTATTTAATCGTATTGAAGAGATACCAAGTTTCAAGTAATTCTGATCATGAATGAAAGTATAATTTTTAGGTTGTATTATAACGTGTTTTCCCGTTTGAATGAGATAATCTCCTGCAATAAAAAGTAGCCTATGTCACTCTCCAGCCCCCCAACTACCACACAAAAAATCTCGCCAATCCATTACTCTGTTTTGACATGAAAGAAGGACAAACAAACAAACACACTTTCACACTTATAATATTAAAGTATGGATTCCAAGATAACTAGACGAGTGACAGTGTTTTATGCATCCGATAACATTTCCTGTACAAAAGGTCAATGCACCATTAATCGCTTAATCAATAATGATGCATTTTAATTGTTACAAACCTATGGACTTCCGTTGATTGTTCCTTATATATATAATGTTAAAAAATCGAAAGTATTGTTATTCCAGTCATAGCCCTTTGTGTTGTTGAGTCAGAGTTTTAAATCTCGGCTAAAACTAAATATGTACAATCAAGTTATCTAAATAAACTCTCATCATAAATCTACATTAAAAAAGAAGTTAATTCTATGAAAGAAATGCTTAACGATATTGAATGTAGAATTTGACAAAAAGGATTCAAAGTTCAAACCTGCTCTACTATTAACATTGGTATTAAAAACAATCGAAGATTCGACGAATTATAAAAATGGCAGAAATAAAGGCAGAAAAACCTACGATTAAATAAAAAAATATATATTCATATGCAAATCTTTACATAAGTTGTAGTTTATCTTATAGATAACTTAAATATGTATCATATTATATCGCTAGTAATGATTGTGTGAGCAGCATTGACCAAGCTCCACGACTGACGAAAATGTTTTTTTGTGATGAAAATGCCAATACAAAGCTTAATCTATACTAATATTATAAAGAGGCAGAGTTTGCTAGTTTGTTTGGTTGTTTGAACGCGCTAATCTCAGGAACTACTGATTCGATTTGACTTTTTGCATTAGTTAACCCGTTTATTGAGAAAGGCTATAGGCTTATATATCATATATATAGTATATATATATATATATATATAGTATATATATATATATAGTATATATATAGTCTATCTATTCCTACTATAATATCATTAAAAAACTGTGAAGTAATCGATAGAAACTATTCGTTTGTAGTACTATTTTTTATAATGGTCCTTTTAGTTAATCCTGTACTTATTTTACTTGTCAAGTACGTTCATAGTAAAGTGCACTTTACTGTGTTATCAGTGGACTTTGATAGATTTTCTTATCAATTTTCTGACAATAGTTTTAAAAGTCCTTTTTATGTTATCGTACAGAATAATAGATTTATTGTTGGTTCATGGCACAAACTTTTGTTTACCATTTTTTAATATTAAAATACATACCTATTTAATGAAATTATTCATTATAATCATTATTAGAGTATTTGAAGTTAATAAAAAGAAAAAAAATGTAAGATTTACGTAATAGCTCGTGGTAAATATTAATCAAAATATCCAATGATATACCTAAGTAGCATTTAGTTCTCTTGCTTTTAATGATCTTACTTGGAAAAACGAACAATAAAAATATTTCGGTTTTTTACGACCTTGTAAACTCTATTCTTACACAACGAGCCATGGTACCACGGCCCTTTTTTATGTAATCTCAAAAATCTCGCGTTACACCTATATCTAGTTACTGAGTAACTACACTTACCATTCACAGGTGGACTTTTTTGTGAGGGCAAAGACTGTCACGCTCGGGAATTATGTGTAATTTAATATGGAAACTTGGATTTGAATCGTTTACTTTAAATTCTAATTTAATTTTTTTATTCTCAATAATGTTAGAAAAAAAAACATTTTGGCGTAGATTAAAAATTTCGCCGCCATGTTGCTGGGGCAAAACAATAAATATTGTAATTTTAAACTATCGACGAAATATTTTTATCTATATGATCTTTTTTACAAAATTATAAATAATACTTAATAATTATTAGTAATAATAATAGATATTTTTTCTGTCATACAGAGATTTTTTTTTGTTATTAACATTTATGTTCTTTGATCAGGTTCAGATTTTCCGGTCGTGTGCTTGGGCTGGCCCTCGTACATGGGTACTTGCTAGAGGCGTGGTTCACGCGAGCGTTGTACCGAGCTTTACTGCGCCTTCCGCCCGCGCTAGAAGATGTCGACGCTCTAGACGCACAGTTTGCTGCCTCTTTGAGATGGTTGCAGGTGAGACTTAAATAGATATATAATCTAATAACAAATTAAAAAAAAAACTACCTTTACGGATTTTTTGGCGGATTTTTTTTGCTTTTTAGTTCCCGACGTTTCGAATGTTTAACAGCAATCATGGTCACGGGAGGACTAAGGAGACAAAAGTCAATAAGGGATAAATCCTTTACGTCTAAAGAATTCTTCTAATCCTTAATATTGTTGTTACGTAACAACAAAATCCGAAAAGATAATTTTAATTTAAATGACGCGAATATTTGATATTCGCGTTAATCTAAGAAAGTATTAAATGAATTAAAAATTAGTAGTTCATTAGTTATCACGTCTTTGGCGTGGTCATTGGTCATCACATACATACATATACCATGTATTTGATACATTAATAAGATAACTTTTAAATTTAAATTTACTAATGCAGTTTAAGTGCATTGTGAATTTGTGTGTTAATCTAAATCTGGACGAGAATTTCTTAATCGTAATATCGCAATAGATGTAAAGAACAATACTGTCTCGTGTCTTTAAATAAATTGTACCCTTATCATTAGTGATACTACTACTACTAGTATCATAAAAGCAAAAGTTTTTATATCGGCTATCGGCTGAACGGATTTAGATGAATTTTGTACACAGATAAACTATGACCTGGAGTAACCTTATTCCATTAATAATAATTTTGATAATCTCACCCAATAATCCCAATATTTGACATACAGACAAAAATTGTAAAAACTATGGATTCGGCCTCTGTATCGATAATAATGTCTATTTCAATAAGATTTTCCAAAAAATGTTTAATGTTCTGATTGCAAATTCGGCTTAGTTACAATTTTATTATATATATATATATATATGTATATATATATATATATATATATATATATATATATATATAGATTTGAGGGAAGCAAAAAGTCGATTCGCTGAAACATCCGAAAGTCGTATTTAAAATCTCATCGTCAACATTATTTCCAGGCCGCTCGTAGCGTGTCATCGCTGGAGCTAACGTTCGCGGTGTCGGAGCGGCTCGCGGACGGGCGCGTGCTCGAGCGCGAGCTGAAGCCCGGCGGCAGGGACGTGGCCGTCACCGAGAGGAACAAGAAGGAGTACCTGGAGAAGCTGGTGCGCTGGAGAGTGGAGAGAGGGGTCGCGGAGCAGAGCGAGTGGCTCGTCAGAGGGTTTCATGAGGTACGGGCTCTTGTTAATACTTTTTTTTCTATTTTCAATTTGCCCTTTGTTTCAGGATTAGGCCCGATCTACACTATAGTGCCGACTACGGTTTGTTCTCGGTCCGATATCGGCTGGTAAAGTGTTTTTTATATAAGAAACAATAAGTGTATTGGTATTCACACTATCAGTAAGGATCAAGTTTCGGTACAGTCACACTCGAGCAACGTTTTTTATATATATAAAAATACTTTACCACACCAATATCGGACCGAGAACGGGCTGTAGTCGGCACTATAGTGTGGATCGACCCTTTGACTTCAAACGGTAGTTCTGAATAACCTTTTATAAGTTAGATAGGTCTGAAGTTTTCCTTACTGAAGATAGAAATTTGATTTTTGACATTGCATTTTAATCTTACTAATATTGTAAATGTGAAAGTTTAGCTAATTGGATGTTTGTTACTTAATCACGCCAGAACGGCTGAACGGATTTGGATGATACTTGGCACAGAGATAGATTATCGTCTGGATTAACAAATAGGCTAATTTTTATCCCAGAAAAATTTACGGTTCCCGTGGGATAGATTTGTTTCTGTTTATTAAAGTATATGACATCTGATTGATTCCGAGATAGCGCAATACTTCCTGTATTAAATACTTCCTGTATTGAATCGGAATTGATTGTTATCTAAAATGTTGCGAGTAGCTAATCGTTAATACTAAATTTATCTACTGTTAACTTTACCCTTTTTATGTTCTAAAACCATGCTTGCTACAACCACAGAATATAATTTTTTCTCACAATGAAATTTAAACTTTACTTTTCAAATTTTAACAATTCAAAATAATGTTCGATTTTTTCTACAAATTACAAAATTATTTAAAAAAAAAGGTTTGTTTTATTAAACTCCTCGTATTCTGCGTTAAGAACGACGACGCCTTTTATTCCTATGATATAATACTGTGAATAAATGTTTATCCAAAAACAATACCAATAGAAATATACGAAATATACAGCAGAAATACATATCAAATTTCCCAAAATAATCACCTAATCTTTTTGTACGATAACAAGATTATCCATCTTAAATAGATAAATAAATAATAATAAATATGTTGGGACATTAACACACAGCGCCATCTAGTTCCATGGTAAGCTACGGTAAGCACCAACCATGGTAAGCACGAGGCTTGTGTTATGGATACCAGATAGTTGATACACTACACATACATAACTTTAAATACATGCATATTATAAATATAAACACCCATGACTGGAGTACAAATATTCGTGCTCATCAACAGATGAATGCCCCCAGCGGGACTCGAACCCGCGACCGCTGGCTCAACAAGTGTGGTCACTACAAACTGAGCCACACATGTCGTCAAATCAATAAATATTCATAATCTTAACGCATAAAATTTTCGTCGATCATTTATTTATATCTGTTCTCTTCCACAGGTGGTCGACCCTCGGTTGGTGGCAGCTTTCGACGCCCGCGAGTTAGAGTTGGTGATAGCGGGCGCTCCGGAACTGGATGTGGCTGATTGGAGAAACAACACGGAGTACCGCGGCGGGTACCACGACTCCCATCCCGTCATACTGAGCTTCTGGCAGGCTATTGATAGGTACGTATCGTGGTTTGTACTCCTCTTTTTGAATGTTGGGAAATGCATTTATGCATACCACCTGTATATAGTTATTGGGTTTTGCTATCGATCCTGTGCCTAATCTATCTATACAACTGTCGAATTGTCATCCTATCAGATAAAACTTAAACTAGACGTTAAAAATATTTTCATATCAAATGGGATTGGTTAAGTACTAAGTCATTTTTATTTTCCCACGTGCAAAACCACGTGGTTTTTAAAGCTTGTATACTTAAAGATAAACTTTTAGCGCGTGATTTTTCATATAAGTAATGTATTTGGCAATAATTTAAAATTTATTTCTTTTATACGTCATTAATTAAAATGGAGCTTGGTTACAACTTACAACTGTAAAAGATTTAAAAAAAGGTTTAATCTTCAAACAACTCCACGCATTTCGAATTCTTCTACACAGCTATGTTAAACATAAATCTAACAAAATGGTCGCCGTTATTTTTATAACACCCCCCAATATTAATTATTAATTTTATTATTTTTGTTACGATGTTATAATATTTTATTAGATATAATTTATTAGTTTTTATGGTAGTTCTTTATAGTTTTAACTGTCTTCAATGTTAACTTTGTAGTTATAGCCATTGGTCAGTTATTTTTGCATTTCCTTTCTATATAAGAATGTCACAAGCCCGAAGCCGATAACCTTTGCGTTGTAATTATTGGACGTAATTATGCATAAACAATCCAAACCATTTGAATACTATTTAAGTGTATAAAGTAAAACTGAAATTACTTTTAATATATATATAATATTTTATAGTTCAGACTTTTTAATTTTTAATTGCACACATTTTTTTGTAAATTTCATCAAATAATAATATTGTATGCATCTCTATCTAGATATTTTTTTGCATAACTACATCTAATTTGAAGGTCTTATAAAATTTATTTTCGTTGTTATGTTTTCCTACTTCGTTATATAATTTAATTATTTATCTAACGACTCACCCACGCTTCGCTCGGGTTCGTTCCTAGTGTTAGTTGCATTTTAATGTTTAGGATAGATTTCTCAGAGATGAGATATTTTCCCGCAATACAAAGTATCTTATATCATATCAAATTTCATCAAAATCTGTCCAGTTGTTTTTTCGTAATGCGTTTCGGGACAGACAGACAAAAATTCTAAAAACTCGGTATGTCCAAAAAACATTTAATGTACAGATTCGACTCAGAATTTTATTATATGTATAGACTAGCATTTCCCAATTCCAAAATTCTTAAGTTGTACATACATATTAGTATACTCTTGCATTGCAGTTTTTGTATTTTTTCTCAGAAATGAGAAATTTTCCCGAGTTAAAAAAGTGCCCGGATAACCAGCCATCTCCATACCAAATTTCACCAAAATCCCTTCAGTGGTTTTACTGTGATGCGGTAACAGACAGACAGACAGACAAAAATTCTAAAAGCTATAGATTCGACCTCTGTATCGATAATAATGTTTATTTCAATAAGATTTTCCAAAAAATATTTAATGTATAGATTCGGCTTAGTTACAATTTTATTATATGTATTGATTATTAAACTCCAAATTATCACTAGTTTGAATTTTGAAAATTCAAAGATAAAATGGTTTTTTATTTTGTCATCTCTTTATGAATATTTATTAACTACCTTTACCAGAAATCTACTGGCAAGTGGTAATAATAACTTCAGAGTTTGTACCAATAGTCACTATTTATTCTTCTTATTATGTTTTAAAAAATACCATTTAATCAATCCGATTATTTTAATATCTACAAAATTATCAGACTATAATAATAGTTTATGTGTATGTTTTTTATCATATTGTAAACAACTGAACAGATTTAGATGAAACTTGTTACACAAATAGACTTACTGGAGTAACATTTTTTTTATTAGTATATATGTAGTATATGAGCCATCAGGTACCTAGGTTCGCATTTTAGCAAAACAATACTATGTCACTAGAATTTGCATACAATTATATAATTATTTCACATAATTGTTACAGATTTACAAACGAGCAACGCCTTCGTCTGGTCCAATTCGTGACGGGCACGTCGTCCATCCCCTACGAGGGTTTCTCAGCACTGCGCGGCTCGACGGGCCCGCGGCGTTTCTGCATAGAGCGTTGGGGACGTATCGAGTCCCTCCCGCGAGCTCACACCTGCTTCAACCGTCTAGACCTGCCTCCATACCCAACCTTACAGATACTACACGAGAAACTATTGCTAGCCGTCGAAGAAACTAACACATTTGGAATAGAATAAACTATTTGGCACGACACTAGTGTCATTTCCATTCCGTTATAATCCTTTTGAATGTTATTTGATTTTTTTTGTTTACCTTTACATAACACTATATAAGGATTAGAATTTGTAAACCCATCAGCTGTACATTATCATTGTATATAATAGTCAATTGTTTATATAGTACCTACGCTGTGTAGAGTAGTGCGGTAGTACAGTAGGGCTGGCCACGTGAATGGTTTGTACTTTTTAAATGCTTTTATTGTAAGAAGTATATTGTGGCTGTGAATCGGGGCTCAAGTCCCATATTTAGTTTATTACGCTTGTCACTAATTTATATAACTATCAGGACGATGCAGTCACATCTAAGACGGTTTTTGTTATGCCACATCCATGTTGGTTTCAAAGTTAACGAGTTATCCATTTTATTACAAATATACATATATAATTGAAATATAAATATTGAATGTAATATTTAAAAATTGTAGCCAACATGTGGATATGAGGTTAGGTGAAAGAAGCTATTTCTCTTAGGCTTTTTATTTGGCTATACAGAGACGGTGAAATCAAAGAACAGCTCTTCCTAGTCAGATAATATAAATGTATGCTTATAGTAAACTGCGAGCGAATCATTGCTTCTTCATCCCTGTAGTTAATTACCTATTTATGTAATTAATATAATATAATAATGGACAAATGGATGTCGTGGTTTATTTGCTAATATTGATGTTCCTTATTTATGTAAACTAAAATATGTAGAGTTCTATGCTCAAAATTATTAGCATGTTTGGAGGGTATTTGACTGTGCGATGACCAAATGTATGGAAATAGCAAATGTGTATAAATTAAATTAAGAAAAATAAGTATTAAAATTTTGTCCTTTTCTTTACATATAATATATTAATTTTATTTTTATTTATCTATCCGTTTATATGTCATTTACTTAATATATTATCTTAATAGTGCATTAATTACTTGATTGTAAAATAAATTATGTCAAATACCCAATGAAGCAGATGTAACAATTAATGCGTACTCCAGATTTAATGTAAATAGATTATTTATTGTGTTTTATGTGTAATTACACGCAGGTGTAATTTCATGTTTATTTCTATAAGTAATATAGCTCTTTATGTTGGTTAATTACTATTGAATATTGTTTTATTATGAGTAAATTCTAAGCAACTCGTTTTGTGTGAAAGTGATCAGATGTGTCAATATACAATATTACTTACATAACAATGTGGTTTGATTTTTTATCTATCATGGACATGGCTAAGTATATATGGACTATATATAATTAATATAAATTTAATGGATCATTCAATAATTATTTACCCCTAGACTAACAATAATTTTGTACTGTATCCTAAGTACTAAACCTACTGACTCATTAAATAACAAAGACTTTAAAATTAAATGAAAATAGATCTTGCAAGGGAGAGGAAGAGTAGAATATATTACAAATTCAAATGCAACTTTATGTAAGGAAACTAATCTGTAAAATAATCATAAATAATAACAATGAAGCAAAATTCACACATACAAAATGTTTATTTTTCAAGAAGTTTGTGTAACAACAAAAATCAACCTTGTTATTAAAGAGCTTATCTTTTTAAACATTTATAACTATTTACAGTTTAAAGTCTGCATTTGTCAACCACAAACTCATGATACAAAATGCAATGGGTTATTTTTTCACAAATATTCTAAGCTAAGTTGTGACCGAGTTACCTCATTCTGCGAGTGTCACATTCTGCGAGTTTAAAACTTATCAATATAATAACTTGTGGAAGTTAAGTTGTAAGCTGATGTGATTACAATACAAGCTACTGTTACGATAGATTCATATATGCATTACTGTCGGCTATTTGTTTGCAAAATTAAATCGATCGTCCTCCCCCTCCCTTACACCCGAGTCACCTGGAGCTCGACAGAGAAGTCCCTTTCATGTAAAATTTAAGTTTCTGCACGTCACCTGTAGGCTATTCCTAATAGTAACTGTCAAATATGACTAAAACTCAATGTAATATAATACACACCTCTGTAAATATTTTGTATATTTACTTCAAAAATAACGGTACATACAATTTTCAATTTGTATCTCTATCGTACTTCGAAAGGGGAGAAGAACAGACTCACTGCGAGTCTAACTTAGAGAGGGGAAATCCTTGTTGTCGTCCACCTTGGGCGGCGCGACCTGGCTGCGAACCACTTGCTGCCGCTGCTCCTCCGGAGGAGCCTCCTCACGCGGCATACCACGGCCGCGCCCGCGTCCACGTCCGCGCCCGCGTCCACCCGTGCCGCCGCGCCGCGCATTGTCGTTGAACGTGAACTCGATGCCCAGCACGCGCTTCTGGCGTCCCACACGTTGCGGATAGTCTGCCATGTCGTACTCTTCATCGGTATCGTCATCGTTCTCGCCCTCCTTCTTCTTCTCCAGCATGACCAGATTCTTCCACTGGCTCAAGTCCTCGCCCTCGCCAGCTTTACGCAGGTTGTACTGAGGTGCAGTGCGTTGAGCGTTCCGCAGCGCCTTGTACTCGTCGAGAGTGAGCTCACGCGGTTCCTCCTCGGCGGGCGGCGCACGCTCGGCGGGCTCGGGCTGTTGACCGTCACCGGCGGCAGCGGCGTCGGCCGGCTTCTCCTCGGCAACATCGCCTTCGGATCCAGTTTTATTTAACTCGTCCAGGTCGTCCTTGATCGTGCCCCAGTTGTGGGGACCAGCCCCTTCACGTTTATCGACTGGCTTCACGCCCGTTTTGTCAGAGCCCGATCTCCTGTCAAACTCACGTTTACCGCGGCCATCGTAGCCCGGCCGGGGCCCACGTTGACCGTCACGTGGTTCACGCGGGGGCCTCGGCCCGCGCCGTTCGCCTCCTTCAGCTGGAGGGTTATCACCGAAGTTACGACGCTCGAAGGCAGGCTTTCGTTCACCAAAATCACGACGAGGGGGCCTAGCACCCTCCTTGCCTTCGATGGCACCGTTTTGTGGGCGCTCCTCGCGACGGCGCGGCGGCGGTCTCTCCGCGTTACGATCGTTTGTTCTGGGTGGGCCCTTAATCTTTTGTTGTTCACCAGGTTTAGTTTCTTGAGACTTCACATTTTGAGTTTCCTTGATTCCCTTCCTCGTGACGACACTGGCTCCCTTAGGTTTAGCTTCGGGTTTACCCTTGTTCTCTTTTTCCGCCTCTTTGGTTTTTTTTTTAAGCTCTTTTGCTTGCTCTCGAGCTTTTATCGCATCAAGAGGATCGGACTCATCGTCCAAGAAAAGAGCGTATCTGTTAAAATTCGCCACACCGTAGGAATTCTCCATTGTGATCCTCTTGATGTTTTATTCACACAAAAACTAGATGTTAATGGATTAATTTCACACACTTAGTAAGGCGACATTTTGTCTTATTTTATTGATTTCATTTAATATGGCGGCCAAACGAACACACTAATACGCCATATGACGGCAAGTATAGAGAAAAGAATGAAAATGGCCGCGCTCTATCTTTAAATCCTCTATGGTTAATATCATAGACAAGATAATATTTTTGGAAAAATAGTTTTGTACATGTACTTTATTTCCTATATTACATTATTCATAAAAATAATTAGTTATAATATTTATTCGTACCTAACAGTGTCTACTTTTCAGTCAGAAAATATTTTGTTTAGCCAACCTAAAAATCCACTATTGGTGGGTTCCAGGGTCGATAAACGTTATTATAACTATAAGTTATTACAACCATGTAGGCAGACATACTAAGTACAGTAAAACAGAAAAAAAACATATATGTTTGCTTTTTACGCAAAAATTACTCAACAGATTTTAACAAAATTTTTAGTAGTGATAACTCGGGTCAACATTTAGAATACCTTTACAATAAAAAGTGAAAAGTTTGAGTTATACATACATCACGTATAGAGTTAGGTGACCCAACGCTGATATTTGAATGACATTTGAATATTAATTTTGAGGACTATTCTTTTAAGGGCAATATTAGATTCTATGTGTAGTGATATGAGAGATTTGGCACATTCTGTATTTGTGTATCCCAGAACAACCCAAGTCTGTATGACGTTATTTGGCCACTGTTTTCGAATAACTCCCTTGGTGTCAATATTTTTGGGTGCATATAGGACCTACTTAATCCATCAAAATTAAAGTATTGAAAAATATTTTTTTAAGTAAAAAGCTGAATCAAAGTTAAGGATTAATAATACATGTCATTTATATTCGTGTAATATTTATTAAATTACATGAATTTTAAATATTTAATAAAAAAATTAATGAATACAGTCACATAAAACATTAGCAAAATATAATATATTTGGCGCGTATTAAACTAACAATTTTTCGACTAAGAACTGTTACTTTACCTAAATCATTCATATAAATAGGAAAAACACGATAAAATTAAATTGCATTTATCTATTTTATGCGCTGTCAATCAAGATATTACTTGCATTTGCTTCCACCACCAGCTGGGCCCAAGCACGTATCCATTAACAATCCACAAACCAGATAAGGATCGCAATCTCCAGCAGGTCGCCGATCTTCCATGAAACCTTTGCCTTTCTTGTCAATATTTCTTTGCAGACGAATAGATGATTTTCTATTCGCTATACCCCATGAAAACTTATCGAAAGGCGCGGTTTCAAATTTACCCGACAAACGCATACGATTAGTTTGTTCATCGTTACCATAATTCACCATATGTTTCATATGATTTTTTTCAAGTCTCTTAATGCATTCCAAAATAAATTGGTAGCCGCCATCTGAGCGCATTTTCTTTGTACTAAAGTTATGATGCATACCGACGCCTGGGTGTTTAGGTCCCATGGGTTTTGGATGGTACGTAACAACAACTCCATAATCTTCAGATACTCTAGACATAATATATCTTGACATCCACATATCGTCAGGAGCTTTAATGCCTATTGTTGTACCGATTTGCCATTCCCAACAAGCAAACATTACTTCAGCATTAGTACCCTCAAAATCACATCCTGCATACAGGCAACTCTTAGTATGGGCTTCAGCAATATCTCTTCCTGCTATGTATTTGGCCCCAACACCGCAATAAGAAAATTCATAATTCACTGCTGGAAAACCACCACCTTTAGGCCAACCCAAGCCCCATCCATCCATGTCTAGCATAGTATATTCTTGTTCTAGACCAAACCATGGCTCCTCGGCCTTGTGAAATTCACATAGATCATTGCAAAATTTTCTATGGTTAGTCTTAGCTGGAGAGCCATCGCCCATATACACCTCACTAAGAACTAGCACGTGGGGTTCCAATCTAAATGGATCTTTATAAACAGCTGCTGGTTTTAAGGAAGTATCAGAATTGTCTGTTGTGGCCTGACCTGTAGAACTGCCATCAAAAGCCCATCCTGGAGCAGCATCAGCTGCATAAGGAGTACAATTTAAAATCCTATCTTTGCATCTCATATTTATTGCCGATCCATCTATCCAACAATATGTTGCTAGCACTTTATTGCAAGGTACAGGTAATCGTATATATCTATCCATCACCTTTTTACTCATTATATGATTTATAGATTGCTTAAGCATGTACCTCTTCGATGTAGAAAATACATGTGTATGTTTTTGAAGCAATGAAAAACACTTTAAAATACTTTCCATTTTAATATTACCTTATTTAAAATTTAGAAATCAAAATAATAATTATTATTAAATAAAAACATATAAAGTTCGTCTTGTTGCTGTACTGTTAAAATTTTATTTTTTGTATACTTATTTTAAATTTGAAGGACATTTTAAAATATTTATAATTCTTTAATAGAAATAGTTTTCAGCCAATAATTTCAGCCCGTAGACAACAGAGTAGATGAATAACTTTTGATTTTTACAGACAAGTTTCTGCGAGCAGTGCACACACTCTATAAGGATCGCAATCACCAGCTGGTCTTCTATCTTCAAGAAAACCTTTTCCCTCTGATACAACACTCCTTTGAAGTCTAATAGATGCTCCTCTATCTGCTACAGCCCACTTACATATATCAAAGGATGCCGTTTCAAACTTTCCCGTTAATCTTTTTTTATTTTCTTCACCATCTGCAAAACCATAGTGCTGCATAAATTTCGTATGTTGATCGCATAATGTTTTACACACGCGTTCTATTTCGGCGATTCCTCCATCATTTCTCATTTTCTTAACGCTAAAATTATGATGACATCCTATTCCTGGCTGATTTTTACCCATCGGCTTTGGATGATAACTAACAAGAGTTCCAAAGTGTTCAGCTATTCTAATCAATAAATATCGACCAACCCATAAGTCATCTGCAGCTTTGATGCCTAGAGTAGTTCCAACTTGATATTCCCAAGAACCTTTCATGACTTCTGCATTTGATCCACCGTAGTCCATTCCTGAATATATACATGCTCTAGCATGACATTCCGCAATTTCTCTACCAGCAATATGTTCACCAATTCCACAATAGGAATATTTAAATGTGCTTACCGGAAAACCACGGCATTTTGGCCATCCTAAGGGCCACAAATCAGTATCGAACATGGTATATTCCTGTTCTATCCCAAACCAAGGTTCTTGATCTGATATTTTATTAAGGATGTCAACACAATGCGCTCTATGATTCGTCGAGGTTGGTGTTCCGTCACCGTAAAATGTCTCACATAACACAAGTATATGCGGACTTTTCCGAAAAGGATCTCTGTATATCCCACAAGGTATTAAAATTGTGTCAGAATCGTCGGTTTTTGCCTGACCTGTAGAGCTTCCATCAAATGACCATTTAGGTACCATATTTAGGTCACATGGCTCTTTATCTAAAATGCGATCTTTTGAACGCATTTTTATGCCACTTCCATCGATCCAAATATATGTGGCAAAAATCTTATCTTTCGGTAAACTTAAATTGATATAATGATTATAATAAGCATTTAATGGTGTATTAACTTTAGACAAACCCGAAGTAAAATGTTCTTGAGATAAATTTCGCATATGTGGTCTAAAACATCGAACTATATTTTTAGTAAACAAAGTAAAATTAGTAATAAGCATGATAGTTCAAAAAATAACAGTGCTTTGCAAAAAATATAACGACGTATATATTATAATATATTATTGATATTTATAAATGAATATCTACATTTTAAACACGTTGGTCTCTTAAATACTAAGAACTAGTAGGCTTATATAAAAAACCTATTAAAAAGACTTTAAACGTATGAATAATATATTTTAAGTCGATTTCTTTTTATTCTAAAATCTTTGGAGATAAAGTAAGCTAAGGTTTAATTTCAACCACAACGCTCTATTTTTGTATTGAGCACAGAAGCACAAAAAGAGAATACCAATTTGGTGAGACTGTTGAAATTCGACACCCCATGCGTACTAAAATTTGTACAGTGTGGACACAACTTACGTTTATGGCAATATCATGAATATAATCTGTGGTCTGTTTAATGTCGTGATCATAGATAAACGTCAAATATTACTTTTTTTTTCAAATTTAATATTTAATAACAATAATTCAATAATATGAATAAGGTTATGGACTTACTTTAACGTAAAATTTAATACCGTATAATAATATTACTTTACCAACTATCTCCCTTATGTTTTTTCCATTCTTTGTGTTATTGGCTAAGTATTCTGTGCTCAACTACCACGTTTTATTTTATAAAACATTAAGTTAACAATTCATTAACTTTAACGCACTCATTAATTTAAAGCCTTATTGGTATAATGAAGAATGGAAATGTAAGTATTTGTATTATTATTATTCCAAAATAATTAATAATTTGGGTTTTACAATTAAATTATTTCTTAGGAATGACAAATCTGTTTTCTTATTTCCTTTTACATTTATTCTACTTTATAGTATAAAATATTCTTAAGAACATTATTTGCACATGTTTTAAGCAAATATTTTCACAATTTTATGCATGATTTTTGGTTAGATATTTTTATTAGAATGTTAAAAAATTTCAGTATAAAAGCTAATGGAGCTTTTCTATGCAACTACGAAGTTATGCAAATCTTACAGCAATTAAAGGATACTACGCAAAAGAAGCATAAACGAGAAGGCTCATTAGCTACTGTTACTTATGAAGTAAGCTCTATCAGAATTCAATAAAAACTTAATTTGTTAAACCATAATATTGCATGTGATTAGATGAGGTTTTAAAGTTAAGGACAAAACAAACTGTTTTTACATTAAACTGTTGCTATTTTTATAATACATTAGATTTATTCTTATTGTATTAGTCAAAACAGCATATTTAGTACTAACAAAATGAGATTTCTTAGTTATAACTAAAATACTTAGATTTATTAAAAGTTAGTGTCAATTGTATATTAATATTGAATTAACATTTTCAGACAGTGCATTATTTACAAGATACAGAATGTAAGAACCAAAGTGCAGAATCCATACAAAAATTTCTAGAAGCAATGAAATGTTTTAAATTAACAAAATGTGAAAAATTGATGATGGTGAACACTCCACCAAGAACTGAACTAGAAATTCAATTAGTAAGTATTATATTATTATGTACTAACAGACGGAGATATTTATATAGTGCCAATGTGCTCACTTGGGAGGCCGAGCGATGGGGTTCCAATCCCAGGTCTCGCACCTCTGATATTTTCATGTGTGAATCATTTCTAACATGATTGATTACCACTTGCCTTACGGTGAAGAAAAACATCGTGAGGAAACCTGTCTGAGACCTGGTGTCTGAGAGAACCTAGCAAGTTTTTGAATTACATGTGAAGTCTGCCAACTGCACTTTGCTAGTGTGGTGTACTATGGCCTGGACCCCCTGGTATTGAAGGGACACCCGTGCCCAGCAGTTGGACGTTAAAAAGGGCTGATACATATATTATGTACTAATATATTATAATAAAATGTCATAAATTTAAGAAATTGAAGCATATTTAATTTAATCTAAACATGATTTTTAAAATGAAAGTGATGAGAAAATTATGTAGTAAGACTAGGTGGCATTATCGTGAATATTTAATTCACTTTATAAATTATAGCGAATTACCCTTGCTTTACTTGGTTTTGTCCCTAGATTGATTCCCCATACAAATTTTTATCCCCATGTTCACCCCCTTAAGGTATGATTTCCTAGATAAAAACTATTCTATGTTCTTTCCAGGGTTTTAAACTATTTTCTTACCAAATTTCATCTAAATCGGTCAACAAACTCACAAACTTTACCTCTATAATATTATGTAAATATTTAATATGGAACTATGAAAATAAAAAAATTGCTGTTCACGGTAACCCAAGCTTACTACTAATAATATAGGAAAGTTAATTTAATTAATAGCATTTTTTCATGCTCATAACTATTTCATTATAACCCGGACTGAAATATAATGTCAATTTCAGATTGTTCAAGAGAGCGAAGAAAGATTGTCCGAAGAAGATGTTAGAAAGATTATTGACATTGCAAATGAATTCTTACCTGCAAATCCTTAGATAATATTATTTATTAATTTTATAATATAGCTGTAAGAAATAATATTAAAATAAGGTTTTGATTAAAAAATATATTTTTTCTTTGTTTTTTTACATTTCTTACCAATAATTTGTTTTGTTGTCCAATTTTGAGCTTTAGTTTATTTATAAGTTATAATATGTATATAGGATAATCAAACAGAGAATGGAAAAAATATGTCACATAAATATAGGCATTTGGTGCAGAACTGACCTAACCCACTATACCTAACCTACATGATGATTTAAAAAAATAGTAAACAATGACTATGCTCCTATAGTATTAATATATATAACCAAATCAGGTGCAATTTTTTTTTTCAATTGTTGTTTTAATAAAATCAATATACTAATAATATTATAAAGATCAAGTAAGTATATTTTGCACCAAAATAATTTTGAGGTTAAGTCATTAGTACGTACGTAGTACTTATATCTAAGTTGGAATAACAATTTACGTATTATTTCTCTAATGTCATACTTTTGCCATTTAAAAATAGACATAAGTGCTTAATTATCGTAGAAATATCTACATAATATCAAGATTACAGTTCAAATAGATAGGTAACCTAAAGATTGCCACTGTTTTTACTTTTTACAAAATACAAATTCTAACCTATAAATAAGCATTAACGTGATTGAAATACTTGTGCAGGATTATTAAGGTGAGTTTTAAATATTTTTGTATTGTTAGTTACATTTTATTGTTTATACCGTACAGTATTATTACATATTTGTTGGTAAAATCTAATATATAAAAATCTCCTCCCACGGTGTTTTTGGTCGCACTCCTCCGAAACGGTTTGAGTTGGACCGATTTTAATGTTTTTTTTTTGTATATTTGGTAGGAATGAGAATAGGTCGTAAAGAATTTTTACTCTCCAACCCCCAACCTCACTCTCCAACCTCCAACTCCAAAGGGTGAGTGGCTGTATAATATAAAGCCAAAGTTTTTTTTTAGATTTAACGCGGGCGGAGCCGCGAGTTCTGCTAGTAATTATACAATATTACTGGTAGAAGTAGATTAATAGGAAAACAAAAACAAACCTATCCCACTGGAACCGACATTTTTCCGGGATAAAAAGTAGCCTTTGTGTTATTCCAGATTATAATCTATCTCTGTGTCAAATTTCATTCAGATCCCTTCAGCCGTTCTGGTGTGGAAGAGTATCAAACATCAACATTTATATTTATACAGATATACACATTAAATAAAGATTCACCTTCGTTAATCGTTTAGCTCGCCTTTATAAACGTACGTACCTAAACTTTTTCTAACAAACACGATTATGTTATGAGAATCACTTTGAATAATTGAGAAAAATATAGCCTGGCGTTCATTCTATGGCCATTGGCCAATAAACAATACCTATTGATGCAATACTAGCGACTCACCCTCGCTTTGCTCGGGTTCGACTTTTAACTAAACTTTTAACGGTTAGTAAAGAACAGTCTACCTACTTAATGTACAATGTAAATACATAGGTATAGACTAGTAGATAAGTATTTAGAAAAATTAAAAAAAATTATATCCTTTACTTGAGAAATGATTGATTCCCGATTCAAACTTCCACCCCCCTTTTCACTCTATTTAGAGATGTTTTATGGGATAAAAACGATCCTCTGCTCTTCCCAGGATCTCAAACTATCTCCATATCTAAATCTGTCCAGCGGATTAAACGTGATAAGGTGACAGACAGACAGAATTACTCTCGCATTTAATACTAATATGGATATATATTATGTAAAGCTGTTTTTTTTGTCATGCTCGTCTATCATCATCAGTTTGTGCTGAACGTTTATAAGTCACTCAGTGAGTTGCGACATTGCCTTTTATCTATACATAATATAATAAAATTGTAACTGAGCAGAATCTGTACATTAAATATTTTTTGGAAAATCTTATTGAAATAAACATTATTATCGATACAGAGGCCGAATCTATAGTTTTTAGAATTTTTGTCTGTCTGTCTCTTACCGCATTACAGAAAAACCACTGGAGGGATTTTGATGAAATTTGGTATAGTGATAGCTGGTTATCCGGGTCAACATAAAGGATACTTTTTACCGCGGGAAAATATCTTAGAAAAAATACAAAAACTGCAAAGTAAGAGGTATACTCTATATAATATGTAAAACCTAAGAATTTGGTGTCGGGTCATCTGAACGCGGGCGGAGCCGCGGGAAATGCTAGTATATAATAAAAGTAAAAATAGTTATTGCGGGTGTAACTTAGGAGATAGACATACACTACTGTGGACTTTTCTGTAGACCTACAATTTTCTAGTAAGTACATTGTTTTGATGTATCTTTTAAGGTTTACCCAGCGTTAGCCATATAAATTTCTAAGCACGATTCGATAGAACCAGTTATTGTGTTCTCCCGTGGGTATGAAAGATTTTCCTGTAGTAAAAGGTATCCTAAATGTTGACTCGAGTAATAAGTTATCACTACACAAAATTTTGTCAACATCGGTTCAGGTCTTTTTGCTTGAATCGCGCACATCGATCTCGCTAAGCGACTGTTTTGAAAAATAAATAAAGACGAACCGACAAACCACAAAAAACATTTTCAGCCTTGTGTTTATATCTGTTTTTTTAGACCACAGTCCACAACTACTGATAGCTGATGAGTGTTACAACTATACAAATTAAAATTTATGGAAACGTAATTATAACAAAGAGGTCGAACTCTATCTTTGGATTCCTAAGATCGATTGAAAGTAAAATAAACTATGTTTTTAATTTAGATATTCTTGAGTCTAGAATTACACGAATAGACGTAACAAATAGATTATTTAGAACATTACTCATGATGATCTATACTTTAATATTATAAAGAGAAAACATTTTTTTATTTGTTTGTACCGTATAAGTTCCGGAACTACTGGACCGATTTTGATGAAATTTGGCAAGAAGATAGTTTAATGTTCCGGGATAGTTTTTATCCCGGAAATAATCCTTAAGGGAGTGAAAATGGTTGGTTCGTATGGGGAAGCAACCTAGGGACGAACCCGAGCGAAGCGAGGGAGATTCGCTAGTTATGAAATATACTGATACATAATAATTTAATTTATAATTAGTGTTTTTTGATTATGCCTTACTCTTAACCCTGTACCTGTTCCATGTTTATTTTCAGATATTTCTGTCAGTGTTACGTATAAACAATTATGGCTAGACAAGGTAATTCTAATCCTTTACTATAATGCCTGTGCCCTGTGGCCTCTAGCTATTTAATTTATCGAATTTGTTTAAATAAATGGTTTAGCCACAAAATGGGAAGCTCTGTCACTAGAGGAGTGGGTTATATTTTAAATTATCAGAGGTGATGAGAAGTCCCAAAATATAAAAACATATTAAAAGAAATGAACGACATATATATAGAAGTTGTGGTTGTAAAACGTACAACATTCATATATATTACCTGCCTCATCGATCAAAAAAGTAGGTACACACAATCCCATACAAAAGTTCTCTGAAAGCTTTCACCACTTGTGTTTTAGTTTAACCTTAAATGCAATCCTTAAAGTTGTTGTCACAAAAATGTTTTTAAATTAAAAGCGCGCTCAAATGTTCAAATGAGCGCTCATTCGATGAAGACATTTTTTGTTGCTTATTGTGTATCTAATATTTTTTTTGATCGATGCTCTGCCTTAATAGTACAGTTACCTATTTACACCACAGTCCACAAAACATTTTAGCACTCTTCAGGTTAAGGACTCTTACTACATATTAAACTCGACAAATCTGGATTGAGAAGGTTAGAGCGAGAGGTACTATGAAATGCCTAAACTTGTTTACTCTTAGATGCTTTATCTTGAACCCAGAAACTTACAAACATAAGTGTTTACGTTATATTTAAACTATTACGGATGTATAGTAAGGTTGTTAAAACCCTGGGCTATTCTTGATAAGAATTTCAATTATATTTTTTGTAAGAAAATTGTAATATTTATCTTTCAGTACCAAAACTTCTACTTTACAAACGTGATGCTAGCCCGCCATCTTGCGCGGTTATGATGATTGCTGACATTTTGGGCTTGAAAATGGACTATAAAGAACCAGATCTATTAAAATTGGAACATAAATCTGAAGAATTTAAGAAGGTAAGTAATAATTATGATGATATCCTTCTGAGCGATTTCGGCCAAGGCGGCCATTCTCTCTCAGACTAGTCTACTGCTCAGGAGATATTATAATACACAATTATACGCGCAGACACACGTGCATTCTCCATTGCTTCCCGCTCTCAAAGTTCGATGAGAAGATACTTTGACTCGATCGGTGAGAGTTAAAGCGCAGAACCATCGGCTTTACGTGCTCTGCGAAGCACGGTGGTGTAAGACCGTCAACTTTCCAAATCTGGGCTACTTCTGAGAATTTATGAACAGAAAAACTCAATGACTAAACTTGGCTCGACCCGGGACTCAAACCCAGGACCTCCGGATTTGCTTATATGCTAGCCACTAGACCACAGAAACAAGTAATAACTATATTATATACTTGGCAAGGTCCGAATTTCTAAAACACGTTTTTCTTATTTTCAATTACTACATTTCCCTGGAGTTATGTATAATTTGAGATTCCATTACTCCTCAACTGATTTCATAAATCACAAAGTAAAATAATTAAGAACTTAATTATTATTTAAGAACAAGAATTATTTTTTTACAACAAGAATTAAGTGTTTTGTTATATTAATATGGACCTATAATTTATAGATAAACCCTATTGGAACGATTCCAGTGCTTCAGGATGATGATTTCGTTATTTCGCAAAGGTATTTTATATTTTCTAAAGCCGCTTCACTCACGTTTGCATTTTTGTCACAACCAATAAAACACCAAATCATGATTATACAGACTAAAAAATAGTTATATAGATATACAAAAATTCTAATTAAAATATGTTAAGTTAGCAAATAATACCTCTAGTTTAAAACCTTTATAGTTTGGGAAACATTCATAAATACTAATTTTGAGAAAACTATTTCTCAATGTTTTTTCTATTCATATATTATAACTACCGACCCATTTTAGCTTCGCTTCAGCTTTAGTGATATACATAAATAAATAATACAGATTTAAACAAACATATATTAAACATTTCCAATGTTAAGACTTTTTGCTAGTAAATAAATTTCTTTTTCGTGGTAAAATATTTTATTGTAACCATTTTTCTATACATTTTCTATTACGTATTACCTATTATTTCGATAATAATGTAACAGCAATCCTATAATCTATAATCATTTATATTTACAATGTTCAAAAAATGTTACCAGTTACATTAAATATAGAAAAAAAACTAAATAAAAATTCATAAATATTTAAATGTATATGTATTTAAACAATAGATATTAATCTAATTCAAGCCACGCAATAATCAAGTACCTTCTAAACAAATATGGAGGGGAACACCGGGAGCGGTTGTATCCAAGTGAAGCGCGCAAGCGAGCGTTGATAGACCAATCGCTGTACTTCGATGCTAGTATTCTCTTTAATCGACTGAAAGTTGTCGCGGTAAGGATTTAATGTTAATTTAATACTTTAGTTTTCTCAGGCTTATATTTTTGACCGACTTCAAAAAAAACGGTACTACATTCGTATGTAGGTATGTTTTTGTATATGCTACGCAATACCTTCGCTTATTGTGAAACGATGTTTTCTTTGGAGTTATAAGGAAGTTCACATAATACTAATAATAAAGTGGAAAAAATTGTACCATCAATGTCGAATTAGCACTTTTAAAATGATTTTGAAGTATTTAAAAAGAAATAATTATTTGATTTTATAAGTAAATAACGATTTACATCGTCGTCGTCGTGCGTTTCTAAGCTTGAGTTGTGTACAAACGCAAAAAAGACAACGTCCAAATAAAAAAAATATTTTGCGCCAGAAACGTTCGCAGTCGTATACAGAACAACCAACCAGGGTTTCATCACAATCGGATCAACTATTTAGGAACGCATAGAGAACAAATATATGAACATTTATATTTATTATATATACAAAATAAGTTAAGAGATATAATAAAACACAACAAGGTTATTAATAGAGTTACATTATACCAGTGCATTAAAAGCTTTTTAATACATTCCAAAAAAATATGTATAACTGTTGCACCGATCAAAAAAGTACTAGATACACAATCAGGGACAAAAAATGTCCTCACCGAATGAGCGCTCATTTGAACATTTGAGCGCGCTTTTAATTTTTTTTCATAAGAAATCACCTTTAAGCATTGCGTTTAAGGTTCAATTTACATAGTTGTTTGTATATTTATTTCAACTATAAAATTAACTAAACACAATTGGTGACAGTTTTAAGAGAACTTTTGCATGGGATTGTGTATTTAGTACTTTTTTGATCGATAGACTTTTCCATATTATTTTCAGTTACCAACTTTACTAGAAGGTTTGCCGGCTCCCTTACAAGAGCATCTAGACGACATCGACGAGGCATACTCCGTAATAGAGGCGTATCTACAAAAGAGTCAATATATTGCAGCAAATAACTTTACCATTGCAGACATATCTGTCGGCTCGACAACCGCTGCCTTGCAAGCTATACGTAAACTGGATGAAACTAGGTAAAAACAAGGAGGTTCAATTTAACTAAATACGTCAAAAAAAAAGAATTAGGATTTTGACAGTGTTAATTCATGTGTTTAGTACTACTTATGACAATTAAATATGTAATTAGAGGGCAAACTTAATTTGTAGTTTGCGAAATTTCAAATTTTGCAAACGTAACACCTACAAGTTTCTGTTATGCCCTGTATGTAGCCTTCCCCTAAATAAATCTAGCCCTGTGTAGGAGGATGTTATCATATAATATATAATCAAGTATGATGACTGCTTTGGTTGATATGTTTATTTATCACATCACATCAACACACTGTTTTTAGCCAAAATGTTAACAATGAAATACCCATAATATGCATGTTTTACTATTTAATAAAAACTCAAATTGTCTTACATATACTTACATATATAGGTACATTGTTTTAATTACTTTCTCATTTCAGGTTTCCACGAAGCGTGGAATGGCTCGCCCTTATTAACAATGAAAATTGCTTCAAAAATGTCAGCAATGGCTTTGCTTTGTTTGGAAAATTATTGAACATTTTCTGGCAAAAAAATAAACATTGTGCTCAATATGTTGTGTTCTCCATTTATTAAATTTATTAATCCCTTCCATTTCATCTATACATATAATAAAATCCGAGATTTTCCAAAAAATATTTAATGTACAGATTCGACTTAAAATTTTATTATATGTATAGATTAGTAGGACTTTCAATTTTTAATTACAGTTTATTATTTAACAAATTTATTTTAATTTTTAAGGTTAATCATAAAAAAATGCGCTGCTATGGACTGCGCACATTTGTACATTATATTGTTTAATTAGTTTAGTTGTCATAGTTTGTCAATAGATGGCGTTATGGGTAAGTTAAATCGCGCCTTAAAAGAAGCACAACGATTTTATGACTCAAGTTACTAGAATATTGTTTTTGGAGTTTGTTTTTAAAGGAGATAATACAGCGGTTAGTGGTACAGACTACAGTACTAGTGAGTGTTTTATTTATGTTGGATCCCGACATTGACCACTTTTTACAATATGCTATTTATAAAGTTTTGTTTATTTATTAAAATTAAGTAAATAGTTTGCACAAAAATAATAATTGTTTTTGTTCAACTTCGTTTAAAATTAAATCAAACTAAGTTTTATTGTGTAGCTGCCATCTATTGGTAAACTTTTAAACTTTTTCATTGTAAATCATCGAAGTAATAGTAGATGTCACTAAAATTTTATCAAGTTAAATTTATTTTATTTAAAAAATGTTAATTTAATTTATTTAAGTAAAAAACAATTTTTTTACAAATTATTTATATTATTATCGCATAAAAAAATTAAAGTTTATTTTAATCAAAACGATATAAGTATGGCAACACTGTCCTCGAGTACTCTATGACGTACAGCGTGCAACTTTCAAACTTGAAACAACGGAATAGTGACATTTGCCAGCAACAGAGTTTGAATAGTATCGGTCGCCGACTGTGAGTCCGCGACGAGCACTAGCAACAGAAACGTGTATGGCGAAGTGCGGTCGACTCGTCGAAGCGCAGCTGTCCTACCGCGTTTGTCAGTTTTAAGTTTTTCTCGAAACGCGGGTGTAAATAAACAACTTGTCTTATTACTTTTTGTTATGGATCGTTTTCATAACGAAAAGTAGTAAGTAAAACTATTGTTTGTTTAAAAATCGTGACAAATCGAGTGTAGTTGAAGCCTTCGATACCGTAACCACTTCTCGCAATGACAAGGGAGAGCATTCAGTTGCCTTTTAAGAAATCAGAGGCATTTAAAATGTTTCCTTTGGTTTAATTGAAGCTTTGTAAAGTGTTATTCGTTGAAATAAGTACTACTGTGTTTCGTTTGGTGACACTTTGGAGCACATATTCGTTGTTGAAGTCGTTCATCGCAACACATTAAAAATGAGTGTTTTGAGTGCGTTGAGCAAGTCTGACTACAAAACTGCGAGTGATGGACTTCTGGAGCTCTCCGAAGAGCGGTTCCGCAGCATCATGCGCTCGGAGCCCATCACAGACGTCTACCACGTCGAACAGACACCCTTTGCAAGGTTAGTTTACAAAAGTTTTAGTCACGTGTAGTTTTTGCAAACTTTTTCAAGATGTTTTAAAATATCAAAATATAGTCTAACTTTAAAACTTTACCATTAAAAATACTTCGGTTCATTCAATTCCGAATATAACTTGATATTATTATGTCTTTATATAAAAGAAATAAAAACTTTATACTTCTAAAGATCTTAGAAGATAAGGTAAGTATGTGAATTGTAAATAATAATTACCTCAATAGACTATGAAATAATTCATGGCCAATGCTGATAGAACATATCTGCTATCTTTGTGTATGTGTGAGTGAGTCCATGTTTTGCAATATGTCACACATGGACGTGTATTTGTTTGAAATACATAATTTAATCTTACATTGTGGTTGTGAAATAGCAGCTAGTGTTTATCATGGCATTCCTGATAAAGATGAGTGATGAGTGCCTTGATAATTTGAGATAATGCTGTTATTTTCGCCTCTGTCTTGAACACTACCACTCTGAAATAAGTAGATCATCTATTGTTTGTCCATTTCATAAGAAATTTTACACTTCATTATATAAAATAATAAAATGGATGATGTTGATAATTCAAAAGATACTCACCACTAGTTCTGAATTTAATAATTAAGAAACTTACAATATTTTTATTATAACTTTTTATAACTTTAATTTATGAATCGAATCGAGAAACATTTTACACTAAATAAACAGAGTAATTATTAATTATTATTCAGATTAAAAGTTATTAAATAGTTAATTACACAACTGTAATGCCAATTAGATTATTAATAAAATTATGTAAGTAGCAATAAACATTGATGAACTCGGTGACTCTGCTAAAATGCAATTTGTGAATAAACTTTGCTTTAATGGCATTCAATTTTCTTAGAAAATATATATATTTAAAACAAATTATAAGTTTTGATGAGTTCATATCTTCTAAAATTACTGTTAGTGATCATATTTCAAATAAATATTAATACAAGTTTAGCTTGAAACTAAGTTTTCTACAACAGTAATAAATAAATTCAATTTATTAACTATGCAGTACATAAAAATAAGATATGCAGTAAAAGTTTTATTTTGCTTATATTTATTATTTAATTTGTGTGTATTCATTTTATTGGTTCAAATCAATTAAGTTAAATATTTGATTAATTATATTTTTATTTTATACTTTATTGATGATGATCAATATTTTTAGCATATTTTATTCACACAAGCTATTAAGTTATAGTATGTACTTTATTGTTATTAGGTAGTAGGTACATTTCTATTACTAATATTATTAAGAGACAGTTTGTTTGTTTGTTTGGTTGAACGCGCTAATCTCAGGACCTACCAATCATCCGATTTGAAAAAATATTTTTTCATTAGATAGCCCGTTTATTGAGGAAGGCTATAATAGGATATATCATCCCGAAAAAATGTACGGTTCCCGTGGAATACGTTTATTTTTGTCTATGGACGAACCCGAACGAAGCGAGGGTGAGTCGCTAGTACATTATAATTATCATTAAATTTTCGTGTAAATTGAATGTACTTTTTATCTGTAAAATATAAAGTAACAGTTTTATATTTAAGAGTTGGAGAGATTAAATTTATTACACGATATATCGTAATTAGCGTTATCTTATGAAATATTATATTAAAATGTAAATTATTTTTATGTATAAGAACGATTATATGCACCTCCCGCGAAAGTGTGCCGGCATAGACGCTAACTCGACGCGTGGACATGTTCGACTACTTTTCCCCTCGTTGTTGCCATCCGACGTACAGACTGAAGTAATAATATGTACATAATTTAAACCCTTGTCACATCAATCTATCAAAGTATCCAGATCTCACTATTTTGTTAGCGAAAAAGACGAACGGCAAACCTAAAATCAACTCGCGGGGAGTTTTAAGTTGTTTAGATACTTGCTGATTAGAAGTGAATTTTATACTAATGTATTGCTTTAATAAAAAAAATCGAATTATTTGAGTACATCGTGTAAATAACAGATTGTTTATAAAGTTTTAACTTCAAAGGTCAACAAAACTCATATTTTCTGCTATTTTTTTAACCATTTTACAGTAGTTGAATAATCCTAGTTCGAATTTAACGTTCAAGGTTAATTATTATAAACGATTTAACCAAAATTTCTTATAAATACGGCCTTCTTCATAGCTATTACAAAAGCTACTATACTAATTACAGTAAAGTTAATTGTCTACTTTACGTGATTAATCAACCTTCTTGATTGGCCCTAATGGGTTACAGATAATGATCTTATGTGACAAGTAAGTGGAGGTCAGATGGCAATAGCATTGTGTAATATCTGATAGTTAATGTAGCATGAAAAGTTTGTAAATAATATGATACCTAGTTCAATGGAAACAAAAGCTTGCTTGTATGTATGAGAATGTATAGGTGGTGATTCTAACATTTTAGCTAACATATGCTATCTAGGTTGCTTCCCCATACAAATATTCATTCCCTATTTTCACCCCCTTAAAGGATGATTTCTGGGATAAAATCTATCCTATGTACTTCCCAGGGTCTCAAATTATCTTCTTACCAAATTTCATCTAAATTGGTGCCGTGGTTTCAGAGCCTATTCGGTACAAACAAACAGACAAAAAAATCTTTCCTCTTTATAATATTATTAGTATAGATAGCTGTTCTGCAGAGCTATAGTTAGAACAACTGATGGATTTCAAAATAAGTGGACATTTTCGATTTGGGTGTGTAATTTTTTCAATTCAATTCAATTTTCTTGTTAAATAATTAATGGCTTCAAAACGTGTAATTTGAGACAGATTACTTCGCCATTGTCACGTAGATTTTTTTTATTGTCATAGGTTACATATAAATGTCAACAAGAATATCATATTATCATAATAATAATATATGATTTTTTTATTATATTTAAGGTGAGGTTTGTATGGCTGGAATATTTTTATAAACATTCATACTTTCCGTTTTTTTGTCTGCATGTATGTCTTAATTAATCTCAAAACTGAATTATTTATTTACTATAGCTTTGTACACAACGAAAGTGAAACGCAGAGATAAATCAAGAAATAGAGTTGTAACTTGATTGTATCGAATAACCGATTGTAACAGTAAATCTAAACGATACGAAACAATGTCGATTTTCTAATACTGTGTGCACGTATCGATAAATAAAATGTTTTATGATTCTATTGAAAAGGGATGGGAAGAAAGTGACTTTCTTTCCAGGAATAATTCTTTATAGCAATCAAAAATGCCACCACAATGGGCTAAAATAAAATTTGACACCTTAAAGGTACAGTTTAAAAAAAAAACTGTTTTAAATCTGGTCAGAAGTAATACTTATTTGTAATGCTCACAACTATATTCCTAGCAAAGCGATCAAACAGCTTCAGGAGATCTATTTTGCGAAATTCGACATTGAGATCGCGATAAATTATCGTATTTTTTAACCGGTTTTAGTATCGATAAGATGTGTCATGATAGAATGGATGATTCTTTCCACGATATGCGAAGGTCAAGCTTCCTAAAACCACATTTTAGATCAGTTTCTTATCTTCAAGATTTATGTATTATCTTATAAAAGTATTTTAGCACTATGTAACTAGGTCCGATGACCGATGGAGTAGGTTCTAGAGTGGAGACCACGTCTCAGCAAACCTAGTGTAGGACGCCCTCCAGCTAGGTGGAGTGACGATATATGCAAAGTAGCTGGCAGCGGTGGATGCGTAGAACTAAAGATGGGACTCAGTCGTATGCCATAGGAGAGGCCTATGTCCAGCAGTAGACGAATGCAGGCTAATTATGACGAACTAGGTACGAGGATTGGAAATACTACAAGACTCGCAAAGAGAATCTTAAAAATTAAACGAAATAGAATATTTTTGTATTAAACACTTAAAATTACAACACACTATAAAGTAAAAGGGAAGGGAGGGATGGAGGGTGACATAGTACTTTTTATCGCGGGAAATTATCTAATTCCCACGGGATTGCACGTTATAATACAATCCAAAAAAATATTTATGATCAGAATTACTTGAAACTTGGTAGGTATTAATTTTCTTCAATAAAATTAAATAAATATGTGTTTTAGCATTTTTCAAAATTCATCTTATAAGGGGGTAAAAAGGGGTATAAAAGTTTGTATGAAACTACCTTTTTAGAGTTTTTTGTAGTTTTAGCGCTAGCGAAGGCGCAGGTTCTGCTAGTTAATAATAAAAATCATATTATTATATATTTATGTAACAGCGATCTTATAATTTGTGTTTTTTACATTCTACGAAAATTAAAAACTTTGTAGTGTAACGAACTCAAAATCAGGTTGAGACGCAACCATATAAAGCTAAACTAGTAGGGTTTACCAATATCTGTTAATTAGTTTTACTGTTAGCGTTTTATGTGACGATGGACGTCAAATCTAACCAGGCATCAAAATTATTGTAAAATATCAAGTAAATACGGCAGGTAGAAGCAGATTAAAATTATGCTGCCATTCTCAAAAACTTTATTTGCGGTGTATCCTGATTAAATACAGTCCAAACTAGCGCGATTCATCGGATATACGTGTCTATAACAGTAAAATATAACTTCTTTAAAATGGGATAATGTGCAATGATTGAATATATAAGTGAATGAATAAATTTTATTATAAAATTTTCTCTGTAACATACAATGTATATTTTTCGAAGATATGAAGAAACTTGAACGGTACAGTCTATTTTTATTAATTTAATACATAATTGCAGTAGAAGCGTTGCATGATGTGCCTGATACGTGTTAATAAATTGGGAACCCGACATAGTTGCAAAACACGAATTTGCCGCTGTTATATAATATTTAAGCCAGTCAGGAATGTGTTTACATAATAAATTGCAAACGGCCTGATTCCAATAAAATCAGGACTTTGTTCTAATAAAGAGATTATACCCGTCTCATATTATGTATTAATTTAGGTTAATTATTTTGGCAACACTGATGTAAGTCTTTTGTTATGGTACAGTTTTCTACACGAACGTTAGTTCGCAAGCACACAAAACATTAATTTTTCTAATCGCCTATTAGTTGTAAATTGTTAGTTTAAATTTTTTACATTATGTAATCTTTAGATGTTTAGTTCAGAAATAGAGTATTAATATTAATTATAGTTTATGAATAACCAAGAGTTTCTTAGATTTACGCGAATATTTGACATTTTAAATAAAACTATCTTTTCGGATTTTGTCGCGGATTTATTTGGATTTTTGTTTCCCGACGTTTCGAATGCTTTACAGCATCCATGGCCGCGCCCGTCTACCACAGTTTCAAATTCGTGCGTACGTCAAGCAGTTGTCAATCTGTCAAAACATATATTAATAGTGTTGCTTAGTAAGTTGTTTTTTAAATAATAGCAAACTAAATTAAAATTATTATCCTTAATTAATTTTAACTTTTAATTACACATAGAACAATTATATGGCTTTAATAATTAATTGTAATAATTATAAAAATAATAATAACCAAGAGGTTCATTTAAAGTTGATGGAACACGTTTCGCTTATTAGTAGGAAATTTCATGATGCAGGAAATAAAGGGGTAATTATTTAAGCAATTTACTAATGAAGTGGATTTTTTTTATTAAAAGTAGTAGTTGATTCGATGATAGCTTTAATTAGGGTTGCCAGAAATAGTTTTTAGTTTTTACATTTTTGTAATTCCAAGTTATTTAGATGCACTATGATAATACATTCTTTGTAAAATATTTTATACCTAAGTGGAATCAAGATAAAACTGTTACATGATTTATGTGGTATTAGCCACTTGTCCGCTCTTCGCTCGGGTGCGTCGCTAGATACGTTTTAATGTTTTTTAACGAAACCATTTTTTTTTCTAAAATAAAAGTAGTCTAAGTTACTCCTTATAACATCAGCTATCTGCCAGTGAAAGTCCCATCAAAATCAGTTCAGCCGTTTCGGAGATTAGCCGAAACAAACAGACAAAAAAATATTTAAAAGTTTTCATATAAATTTAGTAAAAAGCTGTAATATTACAAACATACAAACAGACTCTTCAATTTTATTTACCAGTAGGTGTAGGTAGTTACAGTAAGCAAATTATTCTTCTTGAGAAAACATACATACAAACGTTAAAATTAATATTATAAAGATTCAAAAGTTGAAAGTTAACAATAAAATCGTACCTATAACATCCGCGGCTACTCTGTCATACTCACACGTGTGCTGTCGCACAACCCTAATTTTAATTAAAATTATAATTTAATGCGTCAATGAGATGGCATTTTTCAGATTCCGATCATGGTTAAACGTTTCTACTTCTTTTATATTTTATACTAGCATTGCCCGCGGCTCCGCTCGCGTTAAGATGACAAAAACCAAATTCTTAGGTTATACTCTTACATTGCAGTTTTTCTATTTTTTCTCAAAAATGTGAGATTTTTCCTCGGTAAAAAGTATTCTATATGTTGACCCGAATAACCAGCTATCACCATACCAAAATTTCATCAAAATCCCTCTAGTGGTTTTTCTCTGATGCGGTAACAGACAGACAGACACACAGACAAAATTTCTAAAAACTATAGATTCGGCCTCTGTATAAATAATAAGTGTATTTCAATAAGATTTTCCAAAAAAATATTTAATGTATAGATTCGGCTTAGTTACAATTTTATTATAATGTATAGATTACATATATCAAGTAAAAATAAAGAATGCTTCAATGTCAATGATAATTTTCGGTCTATACATAATGCATATGAAGATGCATATTAAGTATATTTTATATAGATACTTACATATACAAGTTGGGACAAATGAGCAGGATATGGAAGAAAAGTAGTATCTTGAATAATGAAAATTTGGTTTTTTGAGATTAATTTCACTAAAAGGAAATATTCCTTTGTTTTAGAAAATATTATTAACCGATCTAGGTCAATTAAGAGTCGATAGTTTTAAAATGTCTATAGCGAGTTCCTCGTTAAAGATATTTCCGAAGAAAGAATTTTCGAAATTTTGTTTTGCTTCACTTTTTTTTACAATTTAAAAGGTAAAAATAGGAGAAGCCAGGTCAGATAGTTACTTTTTTTATAATTGTATTTATATACATGTATATTGTATACCTTAATCGTTCAAAGCCGTGCGAATGCATTTTTTGCACGTGTCAATACAAAACGCGATACTCTGCGAATAATTCTATTGTGCCTAACAATTACATAGTTAGAACTACATTAGAAGCAAACATGTAATCAAATGTACGCAATTGACATAATTCTGTTTGTAGATCATTAGCTGGTATCAAATTAGGTGATTGCACTAGACCTGACCTAGTTTTAACTTTTAAGTGCACATTGTTAAATAAATTGGAAGCAGTTAAGTTTGTATGGAGTAAATGTATTTTGGACCGACTTTAAAAAAGAATCACGTTCACTATTAGACCGTACTTTTTACCCCCCGACGCAAAAAGGGGGGTGTTATAAGTTTGACGTCGATGTCTGTCTGTCTGTGTGTGTGTCTGTCTGTGTCATCGTAGCTCTCAAACGGATGGACCGATTTCGATGCTGTTTTTTTCATTTGAAAGCCAGTTTCCTTGCGGTGGTTCTTAGCTATGTTTGATTAATATCGGTCCAGCAGTGTAAGAGTATCAGCTCTTTTCCAATATGATGTAAGGCATTTTGGCGTATAATTACTCGATTAAGTGCTTCACGCGTGCCAGTGTAAGCGTTAAATACAATTTGCGTAGGGGTTTTTTTTTTAATTTTTTATTATATACATACTAGCGACTCACCCTCGCTTCGCTTGGTTTCATACCTAGGTACGTTTTAACGGTTAGTATGGAATAGACTATACGGATGCAATTTTTTGGTCAGTTTTAGTTTTTTTACACACTTCAATTTAAAAAAAAAACAAGGAAATTAGACTATGTAATTGGTATCTACTTGTGGTTGCTTTTAACGTATGGACATTAAAAAAATATTACTCATACATTGTTTAATTTTGCCTCAACTTCCGCAAACACCGTAAACAAAGTCGCCTAAAATATTAGTTTCGGTTATTCACATAATTGCTTAAGACACTTAAATGACACAGCTTAACCTTAAGGTTGTAAATATTATGACATTTCAGGAAGTACCGTACGACGGTGAGCAATTAAGCAGTCACATTTTGTGTCAAGTTCGTAATTGTTTCTTAATGTAAGCGCTGACCTGAGCTTATCTTGGTTTGTAATTGTCTTTTAATGTACATGTCGCTCGTGTCATTGGACCTCTTTCAATGGGAGCTACCGCGCTTGAATTCGCCGCGAGACGGCGCCAGTGTAGAGTGAGGTCTCTAGAAATATCAAATGACACGTATGTGCACCGTTTGCGAGCTTTTTATCGCGGATTTTCACCAATATTCGTGATTATTAATTATTGTAAAAATTTTGCATTTCCTGATTGATTATAGCAGACACGGTACGGCACTAAGTTTTATTGGTTTAAAAGAAGAGTTAAGAAAAGTCAATATTTTATGTATTTGGTTATCATTAGTTATTTATAATTCTGATAGAACTGTTTTCGCGCTAACAATTTTCATTATTATACTTTTCAATGACTGCGATACGACCTCACTCGCCAGTGGCGCCAACTAAATGGTGTCACCAGAAACGCCCTATTTATTTAAACTACAAAGAAGCTTTAAAATAGCGATAAGTTACGCTTAGTTGTGATTTTTGAATGTGTTTATACGAAATATTGTAATTAATCGATACTTAGATAAGTATCGAGTTAAGATTAACTATATAAATATTTTAGACAATTGATCAATATTAATATCATAAATATTAACTTAGCGTAACTCGGGGACATAAGAGGTGAAATTGTATTCAAAGATTAATTAGCTAAACGGGGCATTGGCAATCGACGCCCAGGGCTGGTTCCTCGGGTGTAGATAACAGTTTTTGCTCGACACTGGTGAGATGTAATTTGTGACTTTCTACAGCTGGTCACTCGGAGCGGTTTCACTTTCAAGCGGCGGCGGAATGCGGCCGGACCTCCGACCCGTGTCCAACGTGTCTGACGCCCTTTGACTACCGTCTCCCTTCTTAACATCCCCTTACGACGATTATCTATACGTATAATAAAATTGTAACTAAGTAGAATCTGTACATTAAATATTTTTTGGAATATCTTATTGAAATATTATCGATGCAGAGTCCGAATCTATAGTTTTTAGAATTTTTGTCTGTCTGTCTGTCTGTTACCGCATCACGAAAAAACCACTGGACAGATTTGATTTCGTTATAGAAATGAATACGTGTGCATTTATAATATATGTATGTACGCTACTTATATGAAATAACTAGTGTCACTTATTCATATGATAAAGTCCGAACTCGTTTGCTGCATAATTATGCTAAATCGCAGTGTTGTCCGTCCAGTATGTTTAGATTGTTCACGCATAAGTTATCGTCATGTACATAACTTCTCTGTGGCTAATATCGATTCGACCGCGCCCCGAATACGTGAGTTAGATTCCATGGCAGCTATCCGCGCTAATATCTTATTCGTGTCATTAGCACGAAATGTCAGCGGCTTGGCACCCGCGGCGCCGGCCAACGTTCCTCTCGAACGATGCACCGTGGCCCGCACCAGCTAAATTCGGGACCGTTGCATCACGCATCACTTTCGGTTTCGTTTGTCACGAGGCTATTTTAGATAATGCCGATTATTAGAACACCGGTTTTAGCCGCGCCGACCGCTCCGCGAGAATCCTGAAGGGATGACTAAGCGCACGAGCACGAGGAAACTTCCACCTCGATGCAGCCCTATATCCGACCTCGCATTTCCTATTTAAATAAGTTGACGGCTAAAACAGGGCACAATAAAGGCTAGGCGAGTTTCAAAGTCAGTGTGTAAGTATGCAGTGGGTCTCGGCCTGCAGTTATCTTGACTTTGCGGAACGAAACTCGATACGTATGTAGCAACACGGGCGAGGCCAATGCGACCGTGCAATTCTTTTACAATTAATATTTTTCTAAAAACCGTTACCTATCAAATAAACTAAATGCTAAAACTAAAAAAATATATGATAAAATTTGCAAAACGGTTTAATTGTACCATGTTTGCTAATATAGAGTTCCTGAATACCCCATGAAGTTGGCATGAGTCGTGCCCTTCGAGTCCAAGGCCACCCAATGGGCGAATGTTCACCTGCGATTAACCGCGGGCGGGTTGTGCAACTGTCGCGACATAGACACGTGGGCGATGGATTGAGAACAATCGCTTTTCTCATCTAACATCGGAATGCGGGCTTCTGATACTGTTACAAAACCGTGTGTAACAGCAGGCCAATGTCAACATGGCTCCCGTGTTGACTTTTGATTGTCTCTATGGTAATGATAGTCGCCTGCATCGCGTATTCGCTGTGCGTTCGCGTAGGCGACTAGATTTTCCACCGCGGGTTGGGCCACTAGCATTATGTAGGTACGCGCTAGCGAAAGTCTAGCCGACCTTCGGCGCCTAGATATGGGCGGTAATAGATACCTCGACTCATGAATTTAGATTCAAACAAGAAATTGCTAATAAGATTTATTCTCTGAGATAAGTTGTGTAGTATACGCTCGTGTGTAAGTGTTTAGTAAACATGATAATGACATATTAAATAAACAGCTCAACATATGTATTTCTTGTAATATTTAATTTTGAATCCAAGCATTCATTTGGAGAATCATCATTTATATAATGACTAGCGGCTCACCCTCGCTTCGCTCGGTTTCGTCGCTAGGTACGTTTTAAATAGATATAAATAGTTATAAGCCAGCGTTAGTCATGTAAATTTTAATATTTTTTTTCGTTAATTTTTCAATTTTTTTTTTATTAAAACCTTCCGTGGACCTTAAGGAACATACGAAAAAAATTTAGCCGAATTGGTCCAGCCATTCTTGAGTTATGCGCTTACCAACATTCATTTTTATTTATATAGATAATTATGATATTTTTTTTAATAAAGGTCCCTTTAATAACAATCACTTAAATTTTTTCCTTTTTCAATCTAAATGTATTTCATACTTACTGCTTAACATTGTAAAATATATTTATGTTTAATACATATTGTGGGTATATGATGGCAGTACTACATGCGGTAATCCCAGTCCTCACCACTCTTTGTCATGATTTATATACATATATGCTATGCATCCAATAAGGACATACTGTAAACTAAATGTAGTAGGTAATTCGAAAAAAATATATTTAATTCTTTCTTGTCATATTCACGACGATAATAATTTATATCATCGATACTTTCCTTTTTTTCTACTTCATTCCCCATATAAACTTTCATCCTCATTTTCACCCCTTTAAGGGATTATTTCCGGGATAAAAAGTATCCTATGTCCTTCCCAGGGTCAGAAGTTTGACTTCTTACCAAATTTCATCTAAATCGGTTTAGTAGATCCAGAGATTTACCCCTACAACGTCACAAACTCACAATTCACAAACTTTACCTCTTTATAATATTAGTATAGGTACATTGATCTAGTCGGCCATCATAACTCAAATCTAATGCATCCTAGCCAGTTGGCATTGTATAGTATTATGGTAAGGCAAGTTACTAGTGCCCTGGAGTTAGAAAAACAGAATCACGTCTCTGCATCGAGGTAATTTGAACGTGAATCACTGTGACATAAATAAATTATGTAATATTGCAATTTGGTGACTCCATATGTTGGAGAAATTCGGCCACATCCTTTATTGCGCCATGAGATAATTGATAAATCATAAGGATTTTTAACGTACGTACATGGATGGTAATTGAGTAAATTTAATTCTTATAAAGTTTTAAGATTAATTATAACATGTTTTTTGTATATTAAATTTAATTCAACGCAAAAAGATTCCTTGGGAATTTATCTAAGCGACGCCGACTTATATTTGTTTAGCATTTTCAAAGTCTAAAGTCTAGCAAAAAACGTAGAAGTTGTAATCTATATATCATATCTACGATATTTGTATTTATTAAAATAAGGTCCCTCATACGTTTATCGCAACATATTATCTCTATCGCACTGCTGTTATCTTAAGTCGCAAATTTAATATTTCTGGTATGTCTGGCACTGGGGCCTCGCGGTAAGCTAATATTGACGTGTCTCAATTTCATTGTTTGAACACTTGATGGATGCGGTTCGCTGTAGCTGTCGCCGTCGCTCTTTGTTTGATGTTGATTCCCTTCCCTAACCTTGAACGGAGTTCAATGACTCGAGCCGCTCGCGCCCATCACGTTCAACTATAATTGTGCATTTCCGGAGTATTTTCATCCTCTGCCAGGACCTAGGACATCGTACGGCACGTGCATCCTGAATGTTTACACATTCGGCTATATTTAATCCATTTCGAAGCGCCGTCACTGAATGCTAACGCCCGCTGATAGACGTCCGTTAATATAAACAATCTGATCCTAGAGAGACTTGGAGAAATAATATTATATCTCCCTTATCTCCTCGCACCCGCAATGATGGATCTTATGAGCATCTTATATCGGTTGTAAGCGCGTGCGTTGTTCTAGCATTCCTGAGGGACGATTTATCGTATGTCAGCCGACGCAGCGTAAATATAATTAGAGGGGCTATTTATCAGCTCGCCGGAAGGGCGCTCCCTATCGAAGCTGTAAATCTTCCGCGACTTCGGATGGCTCAATTCATTGAAGACACGGAATATCATGGACGAAACTCTGGGTATCTGCACGGCTGCTGCTCCCATTCGCCCATTTGTCTTAATTATGAAGGATTACTGACTCTATGTAGACAGGATTTGCCTAAGTGAGGTATAGTTATGACGGTTAGTTACAATATGTCCACAGGATTATTAAAATATGACTGCATCGTATGCTGATGTTAAATATGAACTGTATTTAGCGAATGAAATATATTATTTACGCCTCAATCTAGTACAATATTTTATGTGCTTACTTATCTTTTTACGTGTGTAACATGCGTTATTGTAATAAAATTCAAGATTAATAAGCATCGTAATTGTGCGTCATGATACTCCATACATGCGACACTCGAGAATACAATATCGATTTAATTACAACAATAAAGTATCGCACATCCAATATGTGACAATAATAACCTTTTAAGCGTTTAAATATTAAATTATACCTACAATTAAGTTAACGACTCTCCTTAACTTGTAATGAATAAGAAAATTCATTTTAATACTGTAATGGATTCACAACGTTCTATAGATGGTCGGTCGAGCTCGGGGTGGTCACCTGCAGCAACAATACATTAGCATACACCATGCACAATTGTGCCCCGCCCAATATTATCTGCGGTTCAAGTAAGAAAGAACCATGTCAGTAAAATCTGCGGAAATAAAATTTTGTTTATGGATAGACTTTGTTCACATTTCAGTAATAATTGCCATAGTATGTAGATATATGTTGATTTTTTTTAAATAATTCGTTTTTTTTGTGGCAACACTAATATTGTTTTTTTATTGTCAATTATTATTTTGTATTTTGTGTTTATGAGTTGTGGGAGTACGCTTCAGTTAATTTGTTATTTTGATTATGAAAAATATGAATATTATTTAATTATACGTAATTTTTTTATTATTGTACCAAACGTAATAAAAGTATGGAGTCTTTATTGTACAATGCGCGAATGCGCCTATGAATATTTAATGGGCGTCCACAACCATGACCTTTATTTTGGCCTTTCTCTCCTGCTATTGTTCTTGGACCCTGGTATAATAGAATTTATCTTATACTAGCCGTATCCGCGGCTTCGTCTGCGTTCAAACTTCCCATATAAACATCAGTTTTACAATAATGTATAGAAGTCTGCCCGATTTGTAGACATTTATGATTACTGCTCCAATCCCTTGAGTAGTAGCATGATTATATGTAGCTAATAAGCCTTCCTCAATAAACGGGCTATCTAATGGAAAAAGAATTTTTCAAATCGGATTAGTAATTCCTGAGATTAGTGCATTTAATCAAACAAACAAACTGTTTCTTTGTAATATGAGTATAGATTTACTAAATCTATACATATAATAAAATTGTAACTAAGCCGAATCTGTACATTAAATATTTTTTGGAAAATCTTATTGAAATAAACATTTCTATCGATACATAGGCCGAGCTATAGTTTTTAGAATTTTTGTCTGTCTCTCTGTCTGTTACCGCATCACAGCAAAACCATTGGAAGGATTTTGATGAAATTTGGTATGGTGATAGCTGGTTATCCGGGTCAACATATAAGATACTTTTTACCGCGGGAAAATGTCTCATTTCTAAGAAAAAATACAAAAACTGCAATGTAAGAATATACTAATATGTAAAACCTAAGAATATGGTTTTTGGTCATCTGAAGGCGGGCGGAGCCGCGGGCAGTGCTATTCTCTATAAAAACCAACATTGCTTAGTAATTATCCTTGCAAAATGCAAACATGTTTATACATGAGTTATGTGCGCTTCAATTCTTTTTAACTCCTTACTGTCAATAAAATGTCTATCAATCAGTATATCGGCCTATCCCGTTCTTTGTTCTGTCTGGCAGATTACGATATGGTTTTAAGCAAAAAATATGCTCCACCGTCTGTGATGCAATCGACAACATATCTAACCGATTATCCTGCGGCCGCTGA